CAAGCCCATTGCTGACAAGTATACATATAATGTGTATATATATATATATATTCATTGGGACCCTGGAATCACTGCGTCTCTTTTCTACTTTCTGCAATAGAGTGTAGTGATGTGTGTGGCGTCACCAAGTCACTTCGCACCAGGCCATTTTAAACGAGCTGCATCGACAAACCCAAGTCGCACGCCTTCAGAAGCTGACGCTGCAGCTGCTCCTTCACGCACCAAAAAGCAACGGCAAAGCTGATACCTTTACTTAGGCCTATATGTATGGAAAAGAACTGCTTGTCGATGTTAGAATAGGTATATAATAGTAGGCTGATTACGGCTCGACTATGTAGTCCTTGCTGCTGTAGCTGGGCAACTGGAGCATGTTGCCACAGGTCATTGCTCGCGGCAACAATTCATCCTTAGACCCAATCAAGTTGGAGCGGTGTCGTGAGATCTGTGACGTGCTAGCATCTCTAATCCTTGCAATCCCTTGGAGTGGCATATGTTTGCACTCATGTTGCTTGTTATATGTTCATTGTTGTCGAGAGTCTCCCCCATCCATAGGCTCCACATAGAAAGTGAAGCTTTTGGGCTCAGAAGGCCAACGATCACTGCCTGCACCAGCACTGGCAAGCACCATATTGACCAGGATACTGAAACAAATTGAAACAATATAAGGATACTGAAACAAAAGGATGTACAAAGGCCTCAAGGTCACACAATATCATAAGGTCCAAGGGCGTGTAAGGGTCCACTCAGTCCAGTCTCAGACTTGCACACAGCGATGTCGTCCTTGCGCGGTTTTCCACTTAGGCCTGTGGTAAACTTCAGGACTTTGGGCCGGGAAGCTCTCCATTCTTCCGCCCAAAGGACTTCAAAAAACCACGCAGCTTGCTGCTTTCGGGCCTTGACAATAGGACGAATGACAGCAAACGCCGCACGGCGAAACAATGACATGTCTGAAATGTTGCTGATTTGTCCCCATTGGCAAAAATATCCGTGTGCAGCGGAGAGACTGGACAAATGGTAGATCGCCTTAGAAAAGAGCAAATGGAAGCTAATAAACTCTGAGTACTGACTTCCATTTAGCTCAGCCAGTAGACTCTTGCCACAGTCTCAAATTGTCATCACTAATCTCTGCCAGGCCGGACCACTCCTTTGAAAGATATTGAAAGTGCAAAAATCCAAGTGTGCAATACTTTCTTGCATTCTAAAAATACAGCCTCCAGCCTCCTCTGCTAAAAAAGCTTCAAAAAGTACGTTTTCAGTGTTCAGCGGTTTTTCGCTCGCGTGTCCTGTTGCAGCTCGCCAGCCGAAAGCAGCACCAAGTATGCAGCACCAGCGGCTTCGCACACTCCAAGCCGAAACGACTTTGCCGCCTCCTCAATACTTTGAACAAGCTCGCTTCGAAGCACTGCTTTTAGCCAGGCCAGTTTGGTAGCATCTGTCACAACAGTTTCACTTCCACCTGGCTTCAACTCTACGGTTCTTCCATCCGGCAGGGTGTGGCTGAAAGTGAGCTGTCCTTCAAGGCCTAATTCGTGCAGACTCGAAGTGATGAAAGCTGCAGAACCTCTGAAGTCTGGAGCACTTTCACTTTGTTCTGCATTCAGCTCAGTCTGCAAATCTTCCAAAGATTCTGGCACATCAGCTTGCACACATCTGAGAAATGGCCGTGACAAGCTCGCTCCCACTAGAAGTTTCTGTTGCTGCTGTGTTTCCTCGTCACCAGTCACTGCAGCTAGCAGCTCTTGAATGGTTGCATTCTCACGAACTCGCTGTTCTTGGGCTGCATTTTCTGCTTGGCAAAGGGCGAGGCCATAAATGCGGCCGCAGCTGTGAAAAATGGTTGAAGGGGCGGGCACAGGAGTCAGTGAGCCTACTGGAGTCGTCCTCCAAATTCCATCTTTTTCTGTGCATGAGCGCCCAAAGTCATTGAAGAACTCACGTCTCGGACCACCAGCATCTTCAGCCGCTTCACCCACAAACGTCACTTGGAGTGGTTTGCGCAACTCTTCAATGGATGCTCCTTGGATCTGAGACAGTGCGGAATTAAAGAGGTCCGCTCGCTCAACTTGCAGGGGAAACTGCAATGTAGTTTCTCCGTCATCACTTTTTTGAGGAATCGCGAGAGGCGTACATAGCACACAATGCTCCAGTCTGGCGGCCAGAGTGTCCACACCTGGTGGCCACAGGACTGAAAAGCACCTGCGCGCCATACACATTTCAGTCTCGTCCATAAGCATGGCTCTTGATTTCAAAAGTGCCTTCGCTGAGTCCAATAAGAAATCAAAATTCTCTGAAAGAGTCTTTTTGCACGATAAAACGGAGGCCAAGGATTCGAAGCTGGCCCGTAAAGCCCGCAAATCAGCAACCATCTCCTCCCATGTATCTTCGAGTTTAAAGGCCTTCAGGCCAAGTTCTGAAATGGTCATTGATGCAAACTGTGGATACGACTCAGCCAATGGCTTCGGAGGAACCCCAACAAGCAAACGCTGCCTCTTCCTGGGGATTCGTCCTAGAGCATCACTTTGCTCGATACGTGCGGCAAGTTCACTGAAGAGCGTGTTGCACGGAAGTTCAAGCTTCGATTTTAGAGCACCTCTCAAAACCGTGAGTGGAACCAACTCTCCGGGAGGACCACTGGAGGTTCCCTTCAAAACGAAATCAAAATTCCTCAAATCTGCCAGAGCTGGTAGCTCCAAGGCCTCACTGTTCCTCACCCAGCCGAGTTGTTCAAAGCCTTCCTCTGCACCAGGCTCAGCCAGCAATGCGTTGATGCGAGCATTGCTCAGTTTGAGTTTTCGAAACTTCGCCTCTTCCGGACTACTTAGCACATTCTGCAAAAGCTTTCGAAAGAGCTCAAATGCCTCTGGAGGCCAAGCTTTGGCGTCCAAGATCAGCTTCTCCAACGAACCACCCATCACCACATCCTCACTAGTCGTTGCATCAGCCATTGCAAAGACTGATGTCTTCAAGAACTGACAGATGCTGTCAGTATCATAGATATGTTTGGAATACACTTGTCTATAGAATTGCCTGTTAATATTGCCTATAGAAGTCCTATGCAGAATACGGTTCTCGCTCGCTATGTCTCCTAAAGGTTTGACGACTTGTGGGGTGGGAAAATCACTAGAATAGCCAAGTAAGCATAAGAGTCTAATAGAAGAATGTTGATCAGCATGTCGAATCAATGGGGCTGGAACTGCTGGCTCTAGGGAAAGTACCGTGCATGTGTCCTTGTTTGTTCTCTAAATCTACACCTAAGCCTTCAAGAATGCTGCAGTTTCTGGCACGCAGGCCTTGAGCATGAGCAGCTGCACAAAGCCAGCAAGCTGTGCAAGCCACAAGGTACAAGAATCCAGGAGCCGCTGGTATCATCTTGTGATAATCTTGTGTGCGTCAAGTATGAAAAGGTTGAAGGTCCAATGACCGCGAGAACCATGTTGACTGTCAGGGTGATCCTGGAGGGTATTGGAAAATGCTCTCCATCCTCTGGATCCTGCAATCTAGCAATCCTATCAGGAAACGAAAAAAGTGATGACAACCTTGCAGAAATGAACGCTCCGCTTTTTGCCCTCGCAAAGTGCTCTGTGGAGAGGCCAACAGTGGCACACTCCACAGCTCGCATACTGCTTTGCTTTGCACAACATCCTCCTGAAACAGCCAGCGTTCTGTCGCTGCATGTGACATAACGAGCTGTAAGCATTGCCACCAGGTTGACATGAGAGGGAATATGGATGAACATGAAATGACTCAAACATCTTGCTTCCAAGGAGAAAGAAAGAAGATCGAGATCTAGAGAGGAAAAATCAAAACAGAAACGACTCTGATGTCTCATATTGTTTCATGTCGTCTCACCTTACATCTGGCTTAAAAGGACATCTGGAAGTGCACCCTCGATGACATCCACCCGCGCAAAAAGGGGAAGCCTCAAGCCATGTGACACCAAAAATGTTTTACGTAAAAGATCGTAAAAGATCATTGAATATGAATCGAGGAATGACAACTTCAAAATCATCCATTCATTCACATAATTAGCCTTGAAACAAGGATGCATTGGAGTAATTATGCCTCTGGTCGCTTCGTCTTGTCGGTAGAACAGGCGACTCTCCCAGGACCACGTGCCACCTGGGCCACAAACTGCAGGACCTACGGTGACCTACCGGCAAATTCAGCATCTGCCAAATCAGGTTGCATGAGCGTGAATCTTGCGGATCAAGGCACAGGTGCTCAAAGAGTGCAGAAACTGCGATACGGGGCCGTGGGTCATATTTCACATCCTGCTGCAGGTCAAACATCCAAGGCTACTTTCCTGCAGCAAGATGATGCACAAGGAGTCGAAGAGCGATTTCTCCTGTGCACAGGCTAGCGGAACTTCACCCAACCTGCCATGGGAGAAGGACTTGCGACGGGGAAGAATGACAGGTGCTTTGGTATTCGGACATTCGGATGTGTATATATATATATGTCCCATAAAGACTCATAAAGACTGAGATTTAAAATAAAAAGAAAAAGCATGTCGGCATCGCAGGATGGAACGAATTCGGTGATAAAGAGCCCGAGGCCGGGCTTGAATCCGATCCCGACGAACCATGAACCTTGCACAAGGAGAAATCCAAAAAAAGCACGTGAAAAGTAAAGAAACCTACACCATGACCATGTGCCAAAGTATAAATATTGCAGCACATGGCTATGCCACTGCCCTGACCCCGTGATGTCAACAGTATCGTGTGAGATGGACATGGGGAGCAGGCTGGCTGCAACAATAGGAGCCAAATGCCTCAGAAGCTCTAAACAAAAGAACGTTAGCACGTTTTCTTTGACCATATACAAGCATCGCATAGAAAAAGAAAGGGAAGGAAAGCTCCGGCCAGTCTCTCAATTCTTGCCTCTGGTACTTGCGCTGGACTTTCCATCAACCGCGTGTACAAGTCCCTGGCCAACTTGGCAGCATGATAAATTGTGGCAAAAAAATCTGCAAATTTAAACACTGGCCTCAAACAGAAGCTAGATCCTGAAAGGAACCGGCGAGAGTTCATGTGAAGGAAAGGAACGTCGTAGAGGCCTTCCTGCTGAAAAGAGTGCATTGCAAGCTGTTGCAGAATTTAAATATATATTTATTACAAAAGTTTGCTATATTACATACAACATCTTGACTTCCATAACAGCTATGTCAGCTATGTGAACGGTGCCTGGACCGCAGAGACCGTGTCTTCCACCAATCTTTGGGATGCATGTTCAAATGGCGATCCTTGAACAAAGAGCCTGAGTTCAAACAGTTCAAAAGAGCTCCAAATGATTTTAACGAATTGTTTATATGCTGTAGGGGGATGCAATCTCGAAGGCTCATCATGGTTCCAAAACATCGATACACCGGATGTGTCTTTGTTTGTTACTGCTTCATACCAAGTTTGCCAAAGTTCCCGTATTGCCTCATTAATTTGCATGACTCTGAGTCCAAGTCGTAAAGTCTGCCAAGGTCTCATAGTGGCGCTCCATGTGAGTAGCCTGGATCGGATCAACACAGAAACTCCTTCTTTGAGCGGGTTTGGAAACTGAGAAGAGTCTTTGAAACTCCTTCTTTGAAGCACTCTTTGGGCCACCTTTAGGCGTTTTTGCACCGAGGAGCATAGGCTAGAGACTCCATCGCCAAGTTTGGCAGCTCTTCATAGTTTGCCTAAAACACGAAGCGAGCAATCTTCGCCTTTCGCAAGGCCTTCGATCCAAGCAAGGTTGGGTCACAAGCGATACTAAGAGCCCATCGCAGGGCAAAAACTTGTGGCCTTGTAGACCACACTTTGCATAGACCCAGAATCTGAACAAAGCACACTCTCCGTGGGGGAGCATTCGCTTAGGGTAAGTCTACACTGTATAGAACGTTTCCATGTTGACATTTGGAGAGATTTCAGGCATGCATTGAAGGTCTCGTCCAAAAGCAGCCTAGCAGGTGCAAAGCTCTCAAGCCAAGATAGATCCTGGCATAAGCTCCGATGGGTAAGGTTGTCTGGACAAACATTTCCGGATCTTTCACAACTTGGGGAGCGGAAGGACCTGTATGTGCTCGTGGCCGTTTTTTTCGAACTGCAACCTTGCTGCAAACACAGCGCTCCTCATTGCAAACGGCAACAACGATGTCTAGTTTTGCGTCCTCGCACCTGCAAGAATAGCGCTAAAGCATTTAAGTTCCGAGCCAGCAGGCATTTATATATATAACCTATTTCTTACTTCTCTAGTCTCCATGTTTGATATGTCACAACACATTGTTGTAGGTGTAACTACGCCTTCACAAACTGACATGCTTTTTGGTCTTGAAAGAACATGTGTATCAGAGATGAGGATGGCAGCACAGGTATCCTCAAAAGCTCTCCCAGTACTTGAACAGCCTGTGGGAGGGAAGCTTCGTGTTGCGGCAACTGGTATGAGCTTGAAGGAAGCGCTGCATGGCAACCTCAATGTAGAGTCTGTGGAGCCAAAACATGTGGTATTTTTTGTTTTTTTTTTTATTTTTCATTTTTTTCTTTAGACCTTTAGACCTTTAGAAGCTATTAGTAACAAGTGCATCGCTTCTAGGAACAAGTGCCTTACTAGTAGTAACAAGGATGCTACTAGGAACAAGAAGCTACCAGCTTTCTTTAGACCTTTAGACCTTTTTTCCTGTTCTAGTTTTTCTATTTTTTGACATTTTTGGCAAATCTCTGTGCACCTCAATGCTCCATCCAGGCAGCATAGCCGATGCCTCCACATGTTTGGGTGCAGTGCAGACTGGAAGAAAAAACGGATTGCCATGAATGCAAAGTGTGTCCAATCTGCACAAGGTCCACGAGCAACAGGTGGCATCTGGTAGCTGCTTGGTAGCTGCTGGGGACTGCTAGCAGCTGATAACAGCTGGTAGCGTAGCTGTAGCTGCACAAACACCGAAACAACCAGTCGACCAACCAGCGAGTAGCGCATTACTACTTAGCAACGCGTCACTGAGCGTTACGAGAGCGAGATCATGAAGTCGCCGATGGTTTTGGACGTTGCTCCTGAAAGCGCACTGCCTGCTACTGCCTGCTATTTTCTAGATTGGACAAAGACCATTGGAGGTAGCTCGCACAAGGTGGCCAGGTGGTGGGAGAGTCTGTGATTTTGTTTAAAAACATACAGAGCAATCCACACGTCACTTCTCCAATGCAATTGTGCAGCCATTTGGCCACAAGGGCTTGGAGTTAAACAAGACCACGGTTGAAACCGGTTCACGTCAGCTAGGCCCTTTGATGCCCGCGGTGGTCTGTGACTTGACCATCTTGCTAGTTGAAGAGATCACGAAGTCGCTGATGCGTCACCTTAGGTCTTCGAGGTAACCTGCTCCTGAAAACGCACTGCCTGCTGCTGTCTGTTTTTACAAATTCTCAGAAAGGATTCTTTACAGAAGTCTCCTTGAAAATTGCAGCATTCATTCGTATTCAGTTTATTCAAATCTGATTCTTAGCGCTAACAAGCGCACTTAGCACTTTGCATAGCATCTTTTAGCATTCATTCTTAGCACTTCTACAGCGCTTCATGTTGCTTAGCTATCTACCATGGACTACCATGGGCGACCCCTCATTTGAGGGATTAGACTCCGCACTTGACTACCACGACCAATGCGCTACCCACTACCGCGTTTTGGCAAATGACGTCCGTTCGTAGCGCGCTCTTAACCCCTGAGGACTCGTTCGGGCCTGTTCTTTCTTGTTCATAGTACAGTAGTAGGAATGCTCCTAGTAGCGATAGGAGCCCCTAGTAGCGTCCTTGCTCCCAGTAGCGATGCCAGGAGCCCCTAGTAGCGTCCTTGCTCCTAGTAGCGATGCCAGGAGCCCCTAGTAGTGTCCATGCTCCTAGTAGCGATGCTAGGAGCCCCTAGTAGCGTCCTTGCTCCTAGTAGCGATGCCAGGAGCCCCTAGTAGCGTCCTTGCTCCTAGTAGCGACGCCAGGAGCCCCTAGTAGCGTCCTTGCTCCTAGTAGCGATGCCAGGAGCCCCTAGTAGCGTTCTTGTTCCTAGT